TCTGTTTAATCCAACAATCTAGACACCTATTTATTCACCTATCCATCAGTCCATTCATCTACTCATCAATCCATTTAACCATTCATCCATTCATCAAATAATATATCAATCCATCCCTCTATCCATCTACTAATTCAACCATAAATCCATAAATCCATCCACTCACCCATCTCCAACCATCTATCCATCCATTCACCCACTTGTTCATTCTCCACCTGAAGGTCAATGGAAACTCAGAGCATCTGCCTAGAACATACCTGTTACCACATCTCCTGGGGTGGCTTTGTCCCAGTCCATAATGACAAACGAGTGGCAGCCTTCCATCGCCACCACGGTGATGTTGCGGGGAGCATGCTGAGGGGGTAGATCACTCTTCCTCAGGTCATTTGGGATGATTTCATCCAGGCTATCCACTTGGAAGTGGTCTAGAGCATCCGTCAGGGAGCATGGAGATGAGGGATCCTTACTTAGATACGTCACATAAGGAGCTGGGGAAAAAACAACCCAGAGACATCCAATCAAAATGCTGAAGGCTGTTTCTGGAATCAGGAACATGGCTAGTTCCGTGAAGCCCGACCTGCCATTCAGTCTCTCTCAGACAGACAGATTCCAACATCACTGATGCAGACCTCCACTTCTAAAGCAGCAACCCCACCCTTCAGAACACACACCCCCAGCTCTCCCTAATGAGCCTGTAGAGACCCACATTAACCTTTCATCTGGTATCTTCAAAAGATCCTGCTGCCTCATCTATACCAATGACTACCTCCTCAAAGTGACTGTGAAGGACTCTTACAGGGATCATTTAATGTAACACAGGCCTACAATGTCTTGTCATTCTTTTGTCCAGAGGTTTGGAAAAGTGTAAGTCAGAACCAGCTGACACTGACCTAGAGTTCTCTACACCCAGTTAATTCCTAGACTGGTTTAGATCCAGAAAAGGAAGAACACTGATCAACATGCACACCCTCTACTTAACTGCTTCCTAGCCCTGGGTGGCCACCCCATGAGTTCACAACTCCCCCAAACCAAGCCCTCTGGGAGCTCTACGTGCAAAACCAGGTCAGAAAAGCCTTCTACAACATTACTACTCTGTAGAACAATGTCTATTTACCATCAGGGTCAAGGTCAAGCTTTACATACCCATCACTGCAGTCTGTACAAGATCCCTGTGAGTCAGGCAGGGCATGCATTGCTAACCCCATGTTCCAGCCAAGGCAACAGATGCTGAGAGGGTACCTACCAGCAAGCAAGGGATGGACTGGAAATCCTTTAAAACCCACCATTTAAAAAATGTTATCCCATTCTTTGCAACGTGAGAAATGCCTGGGGCTTGATTCATACAAGACTCTCCAGTACTCTCAAGTGTAACAGTCTCGGGTGCCTTCTGAACATTCCAACGCGCCTTCTTTTGGCCCCGGTTGCTCATTTCCAGTGGCTGTTTGAACCGAATGTAATTTTCAGTTCCTGCATTTCCAATGCTTTTGATAAAATTTGGTCTTTTAGGCTTGTCCCTGGGTCTCACTGGGAAGCTTTGAGGAGGAGTCCTAGCTGTTTAAAGTTATATATATTTTCATATATATATGAAAATAGCCAAATGATAGTCAGCCTTCAGGCCACAGAAGTTGTCTCTGGGACAGCTAATAATAGCACTGAAAGTGATTCCCTTTGTGCAAGGAACCGGAGAGAGGAAAAGCAGGGCCTGTCGGAAGCCCAGCCAGGCTACTGCCCGGCACGGAACCCCACGAGCTTGTGCCTCAGGAATGCTACCTCTGCCCTGTAGTCTGGGAGGTCTAGCGCTCCGTGACGGCTGGCAAGAATAGTTCTCTGCTCATGGCAGGACATTTGCTTTGGAAACAGGAACGTATGCTATTAGTTTAAGCTGTTTCTTGTCTCCATTCGTCATATATGTATCCAACAGCCTCATTAGTAACGTTCATTAAGGGAATGGGAAAGGAAGGCTCACCCTGGACTGAGCCACGTCTCCGTTGAACATAATATCCTATTTCACATGGTTTTATTGACTGAGGGAGAAGGGTGAAATAAATGTCTGTACCCCAAGTCTTTGAGGAGAATGTAGGCAATAATGGAAGGAAAACAGTTCTGGCTTTGACAGATTCTGGGAGACAAAGTAGAATTGCCCAATAGAGTTTCCAAAGGGTATAAAGCTTTGGGAGCAGATTGCCACATTTCTCTCCATGGAGCCACTGGTAGATTTGAACTGCCAACCTTTTGATCAGTAGCCTAATGTTTAGGTACCATACCACCATGCCACCTTCTCAATTGGGCCAACTGCAAATCTTTTAGAACAAAGTTAACAACCACAATGTGGATGACATCAGGGGTGATTCTCCTTTCAGGAAAGTTGGCTACCTTAAGAATACTCATTTCCCCTGGGCCCTGCTGACTTTTTTTAAATGGTACTTACTTAATCTAAACAAGGTCAGCCTTTCTAAGCTCTGCATTGTCGGGCCCCAAGCCTCTTCCTGCATTCTCTCCTCTTTCACTCGAAAGTAAACTCACATGTGTATATACAAACCTGCTTTCACAGCTCTAAGCCAAGAGATCTGTTGGGTTCATCTTTTTCAAAGCACCAAGGAGGGCACAAGTTAACAACTCATATTTCTCTTATTAAGAAAACTCGATTTACCAACAAATCGTTTCTTTCCGGCCAGATCGAATTCTTCCTTGGGGAAAGAGCTGATGGGCCCTTCTGGTGAAATGACCCGGGGGAGGTCTGCAGTGGTTGAGGGCTTGGTGGTGGTGGGCGGGCTCGCAGTCTCCAATTCATAATCTGAAAACAATTGGAAGGGTTTATCATCGGGCACTTCTGGCAAAGTGGCACTATGTCCAGGCAAAAGGCACCTTTGTAAAGTTCGATTCTCGATTTTAGACTATGTGTATAAAAACCAAACAAAATGAAAATCCATGCTGTGGTTACACAGAACTGGTGCTTCATAAAACGGGAGAAGGATTTAAAAAGTTTGAGGGGCAATCCCATAATTTTTACATCCATTTTTCTATGAACTTTTGGAAGCATCCCTCTCACGGCATGTCCCTGATTTCAGTTCTCTCGGAAGAGCAGCTACAGCTGAGAGTGAGAAAGAGAAAAAAGGCACCCAGAGGACCGGCAAACTGCGGCCGTGGTATCAGAGCAGGGGCCCTTAGGAGGCATCCAGCTTTGGGGTCTTAGGTCTCTGGTCCAAGGCCATTCTCCAAGGGTAAGTTTCCTTTGGGAATCGTGGAAGATTCGCACCACAAGGGAACCAAGAGTACTTTTTCAAGACTTATCTTTTGCGTGGGGCTTTTGCTGTCTTTCTTTCTCTCTTTCCTTTTTTTTCAGGAAGGGGGAATGGGGCTCCTTGTGATGACAGCAAATCTCTTCACATGCAGAAAGAAAATTAATCACTTCTCCCTGTTCAAATGCTCAAAGAGCAAGGTAAAATTTGGTGTTTTCAAAAAAATAAAAAAACAAGGATGGTGAGACTCCAACTCACATACTTTGGAAAAGACCGGTCGCGGTCGCTAGGAAAGGACATTTAGTCAGTGAAAGAGGGGAGCTACGCATGAGATGGGACACCATGCTCTGCCCACCACAGTGGACTCAGACATATAAATGTCCATGGTGAAGAGGGACACAGGACCAGGCAACGCTTCACCCTGCTGAAGGTCAGCTGGCCACGTGTCTCAAAGCTCTAAACCAAGAAATGTGTTCTGCTCTTCATTTTCAAAGCACCAGTGAGCACGCACGTTAACACCGCTGCATGGTGACTAAGAACAAGCCTTTCCCCAGGTGATCAGAGACCTTCATATGCTGTCTAAGACCTGCTGGTTTTGCTTGTGAGCCTCGGGGTGAAACCACTGCGGCAAGCTGGGCTACAATGGCATGATCTGCCCACTGGTAATGGAAGCCAACGAAACTGTAGGTAAGAGCAGGCAAATCGAACCCCACATGGGAGAACAGGCAGGAGTCAGAGGCTAGCACCGGACTGGGAAAAAGACTCCCAGGTAGACTTCTTCGACTGGAGAGTCAACCTATAAAACACACAAACCCAAACACCCAGAGACCCTGTAGTGATCACATGCCAGTTGTCATGGAACTGACACTAGGTCATGGTAACTCCATGTATGCTAGGAGAACTGCTCTCCACAGGCTGTCCCTGGAGAAGGACATCATGCTTGGTAAGGTAGAGGGTCGCTATGGGTTGGAACTGACTCAACATCACCTAACAAAAAGAACAGAATTTTCAGAATGAGGCCATCAGGCCTTACGGCCCAGGCCCCTCAGGGCAGACTTGAACCTCCAACCTTTGGGCTAGCCACTGAACAAGTTAACTATTGGCACCAGCCAGTGACGTAGGCTATCACATATTGAGTGACTGGCCCAGAGATTGTTTGAGACATTCTATATTTTCAATCCTATAAACTCACCCCTACTTGCAGAGATGCTACGTAAGAAATGAGTGCGTTGCCAGCATCACCCTTTTTATGACATTCGACGAGAGAAAAATGGGCGAGAAACGCGAGAGAGAGAAAAAGCTGAGGCATTGGCTATTTTAAACATGGTGCTAGGAACAAAGGTGGGCCCCAAGACTCCCCAGAGAGGAGGACTTGGAAGGAAGGAACTAGGGCACATGGAAACCACATTTGCCTATCAAGCTACTGTCTTTCTTTAGACCACATCACAGCTGGGGACAACTTGGGAGAGTGGAGGGCCAGTCAGTCACCCTCTCTGCACCCAGCCCAGGCTTCTGAAGGTAGCATCAAAGGAGACCATTCATCTTGTAATTGGAATTGAGAATTGGAGGCTCTGAGAGGCAAAGAAGTTGTTGGCAGTGGTGGTTCAAACCCGTGTGTACCTTGATCGTAGATGGCGTACGCTTCCTCAGTGGGCATCAGCCCGTCACTGTCCAAAGCCGAGCCCTCATCTGCCAAGGAAGAGAGAAGGGGTTAACCAGGCTCGCCTCGCCCCTCTGCTCCCATCTCTGGACCCTCCCAGGGCACAACAACCCTGCCCACCGCCCTCCCTGGGAACAGGACGCCAAGGTCAGGTAACAGGAAGAGACAGGTAAGCTCTGCTTTTCAGAAGTTCACTTTAGGCCACCTCGCTTTTGTGAAAGACGATTTTCATAAGGCGAAGAGTGGAGCAAACGTTCCTCCTTGCTCATCATTGTTCTGCAGACAGCCAAGCCTCTCTGGGCCAAGATGAGGTGGTGCGAATCCCGAGCAGCACTGAGAGTCACCCAGCCCCGTCCCCTGGGAACCTGCGCCCTGAGCAGGGGCAGTCCCCCAGCTCCTCCCCTGGGAACCACACTGGGCACCTCAGCATCAGGGTGTTGGAGCTATGCGTTCCTGCGCCGTAGGTTCCATGTGATTTTTTATGTGATTTCATGGATTATTTGGAGGGTTTGGGAATGCTCAGGAAATTTTCCCACGTGAAGTAATGATAATTGCTTCTTCACTTAATGTGGGAGTTACATAATTGCATGTCAACATGATCAGTAGAGTGAAGGGGTAGAGTTTAACCGGTCAATCAGGTCACAGCCTGATGATGCCTCCTGGAGGGCATGATATGCCCATGAGGATTCTGGGAACTTCCTCTCTCTCCCTGGAGGAGAGACACACACTCTCTCTACTTCACCTTCCTGTGCAGGAGCCATGCTCAGAGAGCTGGTAGAGACAGCACTGGATTGGATCCACAAGACTTGCCACCCACCAGCCTGTGATTTTCCTGCCTTTGGCATCATTGCATGTTCTGTGTGAGTCTGATGAGGAATTTATGGACTAGTATCAAACATACGGGCTAATATCACACTTATGGTCTTGGGCTGGGATGTTTTCTCAATATGATTGCTCTTCCATATAAAGCTCTTTCCCATACACATGCGTGTCCCTGGATTTGTTTCTCTAGGCAGCCCAGACCCACACATGAGGTATGCTGCACTTTCAGATAATTGGGAAAACTTCAACGAGTGTACCCACAGGAAACCAGGGTTCTCTCTTTTTGTACCCAGAACAATGTTATCAATATGCTTCCCTGGGGTCACATTAAGCTGGTCTGACCTCCTTCCCTGGCCCTTGCCTGACTGTGAAAGCCTCTAAATTCTCACTTCACAACCATGAAAACAGATATGTAAGTCAAGGCTCCCCGTGTTGACAGCAATCAAGCTTCACTGGGGCATGCCTCGCCCTAGCCCACCTGTGCTTGCTGCCCCTCATCAGCCTTGCAGCTCTGGAGCATAGTCTAGATTCTAGAATCTAAAGGCAGCAGGAGCCCAGCCTCTCCTATATCCCAACTCTGCTGAAGGAATACCAGATGGGACTCCCAAGTCCGTGTTTAACTTACCTCATGTAACCTCCCACCCTCTCTTAGCAACTCTGGACTAATCTGTACTGTGTGACTTAAAGTTCACATGAAATTTAGAAATGATATTCCAGTAAGGAGCCCTGGTGACACAATGGATGAAGCATTGGGCTGCTCATGGTGAGGTCATTGGTTCAAACCCACCAGATATTCCCAGGCAGAGAGATGCGGTTGCCTGTTCCAGTCTTGTAAACCCAGAGGAACAGCTATACTCTGCCCCAAGGGGCTCTGTGGGCTGAATTGACTCGATGGCAGTGGTTCCTGTGGTTAATTATACATATCGCTTTACAATTAAGATTGGAGTTTCCTGACAAAGCCACTAACTCCCTTCTCATTGCAGGCTCATACTTCAAGCGTAACTCTGAGAATCTTAGGTGTGAAAATCTACCATCTGCAGGAAGCCTTCATGATAAAAACTATTGCTAAAATGCCCACACTGCCTGACCTGATATTATTCGCATGGGTGACCCGTGTGTGGCCAAAGAAGGAGCCTGATCTAAGAACAAGAGACACTTGTGCCTCAGTTATCTGGGTAGTTTGAGCAGAATTCTTTTTGAGAAGATGTGGTGAGTCAATTATGTCATTTCTCTACTTGGGGGATATAGTCACAGCTGCCAAACGGGATATTATCGTCGTTGATAAACTCTTGAGGCAAAAGGATTTGTAACTCAACATTTCAGGAGAATTCCTTCTCAGTTCTGACCAGAGAGCCAGAGCAGGAATAGAGAACTCTCTAAACAAACTCAAGACCAAACCCACTGCCATCAAATCAAGCCCAATTCATAGTCACCGTGTGGGGGTTCCCAGGCCATAAACATTTATGCAAACAGATAGCCTCCCCTTTCTCCCACAAAGCAGCAGGTGAGCTTAAACTCTCAAGACTCCTTCTCTAAACTCAGTGGGCCCTGAGAGGGGGAAGTAGCTAGAATTTATTGACTGTCTCTGTACACCAGGCCTTTGAGGACTATATATTTGGAGTTGACCCTCTCAACAAGCCTGAGAGATATGGCAGGCAATCCATCTACCCACATTGGAGTCAAGACACTGTAGCTTGGAGAAGATTCTCAATGTACCTAGAGCCAGAGAGCTGTGAAATGACAAAGCTAAACAGAATCTGAACTCCACGCCCTTTGGTTCCTAAGGGTGTGTACTATAGATTGTTTTAAAAACTGCCTCCACTTTCTAAATGGTGAACCAGCCCATCAAATTGTTAAGGAATTCTGTTAGAATGATCAACCCCAGGTAATGAAGGGGAAATTGAAGTCAAATGTGCATAAAACCCTCTCCACTAGCAACATTTTTTCCCAGGAGGAAATGATCTATCATTCTCTAGAAATACTCCCAAATAGCAATTATTCCAGCTCCTTAAAGCCTCATTTGAACAACATCATGGAAGTCACTGTGCCAAAACCAGTATCACCAGCAGAGGACGTCGGCTCTGCCTGTCTGACCCTCTGTGTTTTATCGTGGGAAGCCTCCAGCCCATTTCAAGGCCAGGTGAGATACCAGAGCCCCTGCTGCCCCAGCCTCTCTTCTGATGGGGCCCAGGGATCTCAGCAAGAGCCACGGTGAATAGAATCTACCGTCCAAGGGTTAACAGAGCCATTTCATGTAGTGAAAGCATTCAACCCAATTTTTTCCACAGGCCATTCCAATGTCAACCTGCCTGTAGCCAAGAGGAATTCTTCTAGGATGGGTGTAATCAGAACCACCTCAACCTAAAGTTTGGGGTTATCTTGCCATTGTTCCAAGCTGCCATTTTCTTTCCCTTGTCAATTACCCTCAGGAGGACAGTCTTGTTTTCCCTCCTGACGTGTTCATTTCATTGGGCCTGTGATTTCTAGCTAGTGATGCTTCGAAATAACCTCACCACCATGGAGTCAATGCCAACTCATGGTGACCCTACAGGACAGGTTAGAACTGTCCCTGTGGATTTCTGAGACTGCAATTCTTTACAGACGTGGACAGCTTCATCATTCTCCCAAGCAGAGGCTAGTGGCTTCAAACTGATGACCTTGCGGTTAGCAGCCTAACATGTAATCACTACACCCCTCAGGGTTCCAGCTGGAATTGCTAGGTGGTGGCCAAAGGTCAATGTGCTGGACTGCTAGTTCAGAGGTTGGAGACGCAAGGCCACTTCGAGGTGCCTTGGGAAAAAATGCCTGGTGACCTACTTCCAATCACTTGGCCACTGGGAATCATGTGGAGCAGAGTGATCCCCTGGAACACCTAGAACTGCCATGAGTCCATTCGATAGCAATCAGTTTTATTATTTTTAGCCAACTCAAAGGTGGGTAAATGGTACAGTTCTTACATCCCAGTGAAAGTGTGTACTGTGCGCTTTGTGGATTTTTAGTGTTGAGTGTGATTCTCCAAAGTGCTGAAATAGCTCATGTGCTTGTGCTGGGCCCCAGAAATAATGCCTTTTATCTCCCAAGCAGGTTCATATTTTTGAGATGATGGGCAACGAACTCCTTTGGTATCAGTACACTCCTACAGGACCATCTACAGCTCTTCTTCTATGTCTTCTTCTAGGCGAAATTTTACTAGAATAGCCCATCTTGAATCTCAGTGACTTTCGGAAGTACTGGAGTATATTCGCAAACAAGCTTCTTGAGAAGGTGACAGACAGAATTAGCCACCCTTGAATGCCATTCTGAAACACTTGTAACAACGCAAAACATCCGAAGTCCACACATCCATTGATGTCAGAGGCTTCGATCTCTTCACACTGAAGTGGCTCCCAACATTTGCCATGGTGATGTGATTTATTCCAAGCAGTCTATACAAATCATCCTGGGAAATGAATGTAAACCATCTCCAAAGAATTAAGACCTTCACTCCAGAAATAAAATGAGGGGAAAATATTCTCAAGAGAAGTTGACATTGAATAGGTAGACAATAACCATTTGGAAAGGAAGACTATTTGCAAATTGCATGCCTGATCCAGTTCAAGTGAATTTTCAATGATCGCCTTTGTATTTTCTGTCTTAAGGGGGGGGGGGGAATGTGGCAGGCAGAGCTGTTTTCAATAATGACTGATGTTTCCTGAAACATGCGACAAGGTCATGTTACACATCCTTGAAGATATTTAGCTGGTTCGCAGCATTTCTACGCACACAGCAGCAGAAGCAGAAATAGGGCCTGAGAAAGAAGGATACTGGCTATTAACAACTTTTCAATTAGAAACTTCAGAATACCTATAGGTAAGGTATCATGCAGATGGACAATGGTGCATATGTAACAAGGTACCAAGAGGAAATCGAAATTAAGTACAAGGCATTGTCTGAACTACAAATAATGTATTGTCTAGTGGGGAAGTCAGGCCAAGTGAAAAACAAACAACATGTGTATGTGTGGGTGTGAGAGAAAGAGATATGTTTATATCCATATCATCGATAGCTACAGTTCTCTCATTTGTTGGGTGCCATTCAATAGGTTCTAAGCCAGAATGAGACCCTGCCCAATCCTGCGTCATCCTCACAACTGTTCCTATGCTTGCACCCATTGTCGCAGCTACTGTGTCAGTCCATCTTGGTGAGTGTCTTCCTCTCTTCTGCTGCC